TATTACGTGAGATAGTTGGCTACCGTGCTGACATTGTTTGTCTTCAAGAGGTACAGAAGTACATCAAAGCTTCTATGTGCATTGTAAGATAGGTCAAAACTTAATGAATTTTCGGTGGAAAAATGGCGACCCTATGAAGGTCCGGCTAGAGAAGAAATGAGAACAACAATGGAAATGCTTTTCTTTTTTCTTTTTTTAATAATAAAGGGTAAAAGGTTTGTCAGTTTTGTTCACAGTCACTTAACTGCATTTTGTTCATATAGAGTGGTTTCTCGGAGATCAGAAGTGCTATGTCAGTTAAAAAGCACAATTTCTTTTCCAAACAGTAGTTCATGTTGTATAATACAATAGTGACTTGTCAAAGCTAAGTGTGTTGTCTTTGGTTGCAAGTTTGTGTGTATTTTAAGTTGAAAAGTTTGTTTTCTTTTTTGTCTTCTTGTTGATATTCTGGTAAAGAATCCATAAATTTATTTGTACAGTATGTTTATGTTGTCAAGTGCTTTTCAGCATTAATGAAAGGAAATTGGGTCAACTTTTACTTGGATCTGCCCAAACCTGAAATGTAAATGTTGTTTATGACTATTTTTCTCTCCTTGGCTGCCTAAAGTTTCAGCAAATGATTTCTTCCACCTGTTTAGGTATATTTATGTTGACGACAGGCATGAAATCAATAGTGTTGACTGTATTTTTTCTGTCCTAGGTTCAATGTGACCATTTTGAGGAATTCTTCGCCCCTGAGCTGGATAAACATGGTTATCAAGCTCTATATAAACGAAAAACAGCCGAGGTTAGTCAAAATGTTGATTGTTGTCGTGTTCAAAGGTAGCTGTGCCAGTTATACATTAGACTGTTGTTGTGTGCAGGTCTTCAATGGGAATATTTATTCAAATGATGGTTGTGCTACATTTTTCCGCCGGGATAGATTTTCACATGTCAAGAAATATGAGGTATGAAGCTTTTTCATTATATATTTTTGCATTTTCTCTTTTGTTGTGCTTGACTGTTCTGTGGTTGTGAAGGTTGAGTTTAACAAAGCTGCACAATCCTTGACTGACGCTTTAGTTCCAAGTACTCAGAAAAAAACTGCTCTGGGTCGATTGATCAAGGTATCTTAGTTCATTGATTACATGTAATTTTTTTTATTCCTTCCATTTGAAACGGATGACATGCTGTTCTTTTTGAACTGTGTCATGATAAAATTTATGTTTCTTTAATATCTGAGTCAGTAAAAAATAGATGTCCCACATGTTTCTGACGCTCTTTGTTTTTTAATTTACCATCCAGAGGTCATACATGTTTTCCAGTTTAACCTTCAACTGTTTTTTATTGACTTTATACCATTCTTTTTTTTGACCTTAGACCCGCCATGTTATGCAAATCTTTTTAACATTCTTGCATTGTCAAAACTTGGGCATCTAGCTTGCTGAAAATAATGGCAATGCTTCATCTCTCGCTAATTATGGAGTAAAAGTTATGGTATGTTTTCGTATCTGACTAATAATGTGTCTTCATATAGGATAACATTGCACTTATAGTGGTTCTGGAAGCAAAATTTAGTAACCAGGGAATTGATAATCCTGGGAAGCGACAGCTTGTTTGTGTGGTAAGCATTTAAAGTTGGTTTGCTCTTTGTTCTCAAGTTATTTTATTCCTACTAATGTCACTGTTGATCAATATGGCTGTGGCGATACTCTAATTTTTGGCCAGTTGCATTAATTTTCATCACTTGATTTAATTGATGGCTCATGCTTGCTTCATACTCCTGACTCAATATTACTTTTATGTACTTGAAATTCATTTCTCAATATCTTGGTCCCGTGAAATTGTTTCTTGTTTGTTAGACATGGTTTCTAGGTGACATATTTTTTCTTTTGGGGGGAAAAGGTCCTTTGGATACATCTTTTTAAAATGTTCATCCTGTGGAGCATAATTGTGACAGTATGTATTACCTTCTTGTACAGGCTAATACACATGTCAATGTTCAGCAAGATTTAAAGGATGTGAAGCTGTGGCAGGTTCTTATTCAACCTCCTCTTGCTGTTGTAGTTGCCTCTATCTTATTATGTGTTAATATTTGTTGATGTGCATGCCTTTGTATCAGGTTCATACATTGTTGAAAGGGTTAGAGAAAATTGCTGCCAGTGCAGATATCCCAATGCTCGTCTGTGGAGATTTTAATTCTGTTCCTGGAAGGTCAGATATGGTTTTTGTTTAATTTGCATACTAGTGGTTGTTGTTATGTAGGTTGTCCATCGAAGCAGGAGTTAACTTCCTGATTTATGTCGTGTTTTGGGTGCAGTGCTCCACATGCTCTTCTTGCCATGGGAAAAGTTGATCCAATGCATTCAGATTTAGCAGTTGACCCTCTTGGAATCCTTCGCCCTGCCACAAAACTTACACATCAGTTGCCATTGGTATGTTTCTTGATCTTTAAACGCTAATTTTTAATTTCGTCGACAGATTAAACTTCTTTCTCTTTGAGAAGCTTTTAATATGCATAGGCTTGTACTACTAATGATCCTGAGTTGTACGTGCTTCTTGATATATCATATAGGTAAGTGCATACTCATCATTCGGAAGAGCAGCTGGTATTGGTTTTGAGCAACAGAGGAGGAGATTGGATCTTACTACAAATGAACCTTTGTTCACCAACTGCACCAGGGATTTTATCGGCACTCATGATTACATATTCTACTCAGGCATGCTCAAAGTGAACTGTCTTTTACTGTTTTTATCTGTTGACTCCCTAGTTCCCCCATGCAGAGCATTTCTGTCTGATTTATCTCTCATTTTTCAATTTGTCCAGGATAAATGTATATTGCTGGGTGTGTGAAGTAATTCTTGCTAAACGTATAATATATTTTTAGTAATGTTGTAAATTTGTTATTTTTTATCCTTTCAGCGGACTCCTTAACTGTGGAATCTTTGTTGGAGCTCTTGGATGAAGATGGCTTGAGAAAAGACACAGCACTTCCTTCTCCAGAGTGGTCTTCTGATCACATAGCACTCTTAGCTGAATTTCGCTGCAAGCCTAGAACTAGGCGCTGACACTGGGTAGGCTGCTACTTCCAGTCCTTTTACATCTTTACCTAGATCTTATTTTGATTTATGAGGCAGTGAATGTATCGGATGTTGCTGACATGATTTTAATTCCTATTGTTTCGTTTCACTTCATTATTGAAACAAATCAGGATGGTGCCTATTGTGTAGGGATTATTGAAAAGGTTGTAAATATGTATTAACTCATGCCCAAGCATTCTCCCTCTCCCACCTCGTTTGATTACTCAAGTTTTGATGCCCGTGGCTGCAGGTCTTGTTTGCGGAGGAATTTCAGAAATAGAAACAGAGACAGAGTCATTTGTAAGAATAGTAGATGATGTTTCCTGTGTTTTTCCTTAGGTGTTCCCCAGTGGATCCTTAGTTGTGATCTTTTGTATCATGCAACCTTTGTTTCATAGAGAAATTGTGGTCATGCTGTACTATAGAAGTTCTCCTCTAATTCAAATAGAAATATAATACCAAATACCCATAGGCGGTATGACCGGCTTTTTTCCAAATTTCTTTGGTGCTTTGCTTTTCACATCCATTGAGCTGCCAGCATTTTGAGGCGGCAATTTCCTGCTGGAATTTTTAGCCAACGGCACTGGGATGAGTGAATCTAAGAGCTTGCTGCTCATCAGATGATGGACTCCATCATCTTATAAAGAGACCTTAACGATATGGTAATTTTTATTGTTATATATTGAGAAAAACAAATTAAGATTGCATATTACACATCCTATGAGTTGAAAATTTCTCTAAAGCCGTGGGAAGGAATTTTGTCGAAAACGTTTGAAAGATGAACAAAATTAAAAATGGTCAAAAGAATCGCGTTGCCTGTAGTGTGTTGGAAAATAAAAAAAAAGGCATGAATTTTAGAATTGCGAAAAAAATGTTAGAAGAAAAACCGCTGAATGTTAAGGGTCTTGATGTCATATTGGTTTTTATGGCGTGGATATAGAACACAAAGGTGCGGAAAAATTTTTATGGTCATTTCATTTCCTGGCGGGCAGTTTTGGTATGTACAAATGTTCGATTAGGACCATCTGATGATGTTCCAGGAGAATCAGTCAAAACTGCCGTAAATTTCAAATCACACATGTCTGTACTTCCTGATTGCTTGATTATCCAACACATCTGGAAAAAAAAAAAATATATATATATATATATATAAAGGCTCAAATGCCAGATACACAAGCAAGTAGTCGGTCATCAAATTTGCTCATCCTTGTACGTAATTCATCAAAGAAAAAAAGAACGGAACAAGTTGCAGCGGTCTCTGGCGCCTGTTGAGTGTCAAAGCTTCGTTCGGACATTCACTTAATGTGATTTCAGCTCTTCATTTTGCTGCTCTCATTACGAGTCCCTGCAGTTTGGCTGATTGAGATTGACAACTGAACTGGTCAAAATCCAAGTCTAAGTCGTGTATAATCAAAGCAGAAATAACAATTCATCCAGATATGTTTAGATATCTGTCATTGCATCGGGGGTTTTATATCACATTTTGGAAACTGCCATTGAAGAAGTTTGGGGTTAAGAAAGAAAGAAAAAAAAAGGTCAGGTTGGTTGAATGTTGATTTCAGATGGATTAGATGAGTATATCTGTCTAAGTTTGCTCATTATATTAGTACTTACTGCGTTGCAAAATGACCACACGCGTCAATATCTTGATTGCAAGGCAAGGGCCCAAAACTCAGACGAAGCTCAGCAAAGGAAGTCAATTCAATTAGAGCATAGGAAAGTTTGAAATCTTGCTCAGTCATTTTAGCTTGAGGTACTTGCCAAATTGGATACATCACGAAGACATGCTTTTACAAGTTTTTCTGGACAGCGATTTTCTGACTCCTGCGGGCTGTGTTGCAGTCCCAGCAATTAATGTATGACGTCGTGCATGCCTGAATTAGCGCCAATCCATATATATATATATATGTATATGTATATGTATATGTGTATACACACACACACACACACACGCACACACAGAGAGAGACACATATACATGCAAAGGGGCAGAACCATATCATCCCTTAATAATCACCCACCTCTTTCTCGCGGCAGTTTTATTGAATTGGCTAAATAAACTGCATAATTTGGCGTGTCATGGAGAAAATTAGCGCAAGAGTTTCACTATGTTTGCTAGCTCTGATGATGGCTGGTTGTGTTAGAGTAAGCAGTGATTTTGCACAAGACAAGCGAGAATGCCAAGATCAATTGGCCGGTCTGTCGCCTTGTGTTTCATTTATAAGCGAAGAGGAGAAGCATCCCAGCCCAGTTTGTTGCCTCAGGCTGGGAAATAACTACGATCAAAAGCGCAGGTGTTTGTGCATGCTGGTGAGAGACCGTAATGAACCAGGTCTTGGCTTCAAAATCAACGCTACACTTGCACTCGCTCTTCCCTTCATCTGTCACATACCAGCTAACGCGACGCAGTGTCTTGGTAATCGATCAACTATAGATTAATTCCCGCATATAGTCTTAGCTCTGCTCGTAACTTTCATCCCTTTTTCTTTTTTGGCTAATATTTGTGGCTTGGATTACAGATTTTCTGCACCTGGATCCTCGGTCACCAGATGCTCAGATTTTTCTGCAGTTCTCTAATTCTTCTGGAAGTAGAACCTCAACTATTAGTGGCATAGGTACACTTTCTATTCTTTACACTTTATCCTACAACTTTCTATGCCCATGCTTTTGCACAATTTTTCTGTTTTTAATAAATAGTACACCGATGATCATCGGAGGTTGAGTTTGTGACACCAAATCACAGGATTCATCTGTCTGTTTGCAGAAACGTGATGATGGTCTGTTTTATGTTATATGTTTTGCTATACATTGCTGATACCCGTTTTTTTTTAATTTTAATTTCTTTCTTTTGTAGCAGCTGATTCTGGAAGTTCAAGCTCGATAAATCGTGGAAAGAAATGGCTTAACTTGGCGATGCTTGGCGTGGTTTCAGTTTGGCCACTCATATCAAGCTTCATTAGCAAGTAGTTTGTAGGGAAATTAGAGTGGTGCTGTCTTTGCCCTTTTTCTTCCCCAAAAGAATGCAAGTGCATGCGTGTGTGTGGTGTATTTATATGTGTCTTTTTTGTGAGCACTTGTGATAAATATTAGAATCAAGGAATATGCAATCTAGTGAAACCAATGATCCCTTCCAGAAAGACACAAACGTGGTTCTTCCCAACAAGCGTTGCATTCTTCTTCTTGATCTTACAACTAATGAAGTGCTTCTTATTTCCTCACAGCAACGGGGGACTGGAGAGGGTAATGTACCAATTAGTAGCATCTGTGATGGTTGTTTATGACTTCCTCTTCTTCTTCTAGTAAATGTGTGTGTCTGTGTACCCTTGTTTCCATGAGTGCACAGATACTTCAGGAAGCCAAAAGATGAGCAAATTTGATACTAAATTATTGAACCTAAATATGGCAAAATTTTCATTTTCCGCATGATCTAGAAACAATTGCTTTCCATACGAACAAAAACCTACCCATAGGATGCCCCATCCCTTTCAGATGCATTGTGTGTTTGGGATACGCTTGAACATAGGTCAACCAAAGTGGTCTTGCAACTCAAGCAGAGCTTTGCCATCGAAGGCATGCAATTTTGTGAAGAGGAAGGTTCTCCTAAACTTGAGGCAACAAGCTATCCTAGAGTTTATGCCATGCATATATACATATATATATATATATATATATATATATATATATATATATATATATATATATATATATATATATATATATATATTGTTATAGTCTGATGCAAAAATGGTATTATGTCAGAGGTCCTATGAAAAATGGAACATAATACGATAAATCATTGAGAATAAAAATATGCCAAAACCCTCATGGTATAAACCTGACACTAATAATACAACCATTAAGATGCGAACCCGAACCTATGAAACCATGTTCTACACATAGTTTTACCTGTTGAAAGTAGTTGCTGATTTTCATAGGAAGGTGTTGTGATCTTGCATAATGCATTAAAAAGTAATTGCGAAATGTAGAAAGCATACACGTTAAATCTAATCTGCGTGCTTGATTTGATGGAGCAATAGAAGCACGATGACCTGAGAGTAAAATGGTATCATGAATCCAAGTAAGTCCACAAGTTGTAGAACACATGTTCAAAACCTGAAAGCACAAAGATTGCAATGTTACTTGTGATTCCTTTCCTCCTTCATAATTCTTCGCGTAAGGAAAACAGAATCTACACGTAAAGGGATTAGGCAAATTCTCCGAATAAGGAAAACAGAATCTACACACAAGGGGAAAACATCCCTAATTATTGTGGCAATGGCACAAAACATCTTCTAGTTACCCCACCAGTGGCCAAAAGGCAAGCATTGGATGTTGGTGCTTGATGCGCATCATTAGCATGATGCTCAGGTCTGGGAATCCCTAGAACACTGTGTGGTGGGGGTATGGTCAACTCACTTAAAGTTTGGTAAGAAGGGGTGGGTCCAATTAGTAAAAGAGAATTTAACCACTAAATAAAATCCAATGAAGCTTTCACATGCGTATCAGGGAATGTTTTTCTGAAAATAAAGAGAGGACTGCCATTGAATAATGGCTGGTCCTCTCTGGGAAGCTTTCTAATTCTGCCCCATTTGTTAGTGCATTCTTCACTTCTTGAAGACAAAAGCAAAAAACAATGCTTCAGTGGGATTTGAAAAAGAAATGCAACTGAAGTTTGATGGCTTGATATAGATGGCATTTCACATTACAGAGCAGAAATATTGAGTGGATACTGTCCATATAAAGTCTTTATCAGCATGAAGCAAACGTGGGAATTTTAAGCAAGGTTTTTTTATTTTTTTAAATTGAAACATTAAAGGGAGCATAACAGTTAAATACGTCCTGAACTCCTGAAACCGAAGTTAAAAGCTCAAAGCACATTTTAAGGGTCAACAAGGGGGCTTAACAATATTTTGAGCTTTAGCCAACAAGAGAGTCTGAACAGGTTATCCATTTAAACCATGGACTATCACTTACTTTAAATAAGACGGTAAGCCAATCTATTAAACTTTAATGCAAGATATTATTTGCAGCCTGACAGACTTACAGCTTAGCTATGCACTTTGAAGCATTTCAGCTTTGGGAACAATTGACGGAGTTCGTCACGCGCCCTTCCCTGCACAAATTTTTTTTTTTAAAAGGGACTATATTAAAGCCCTGTGTCACCTATGATTGCATATAGATGGCTCCCAGAGAATGTTAACATTCTCAGGTGCATATTATGTGCATTTGTTTGAAACATAAAATGAAAAATATAATATTTACATTTATCATAAGATACAATATGATCTCCAAACAAGTATGTCATAAGTTCGTCGTCTTCATAGAACGAAATATGTAAAATCTATTTCAACATCCAGAATTACATTTATCCAAATCCCTTGTTTGTCTATCCTATCAAGTCACATCCCCATCCTTCGTAAGCATTCTTCCTAGATCGGGACAAATAGAAGACTCCAGTTCTTATGCCTTGTATACCAATCAAAATTAATTTTCAAGGAACTAGTACATACGAGCATTGTTGTGGAAAGGGACAATGCATTTTGTACAGATAAGAATGCATAACAAGTGGAAGGACTTTTGCTACTATGGCAAACCAAAAGCTTACCTTAATGCCAACACAACCATTCACGTCGAGTGTTGTGAGTGTACCTGAGCAGCATTTGCAGAGGGCCTCAAGGCACCTATCAGTCACCCCAACAATCCCAAACAAGCTAAAAGGCAAAACAGCCAAGCCCCAGAGACACAAGTTTCAGTCCAATAGCAGGAAAAATGTGCTAATACATCAAAGTAAGCCTACTTCTTGTATGCCTATATCAAGTTCAGAATACAATGGCAAGGAATGTGCAAAAATTAACAGGCAGATATCCATGAATTAGATTATCTAATATTTTTACAAGGGGATTACTCTAATGTACAAATAAGTACTTCATCTAATGCCAATCTTCAATTTTCTGGATTTACCTCAAAAGTTCAAGAGAACTGCAGCTTTCAGCTATAGCTTTCACTCCCACATCTGTCACATGTATACACCTAAATAACAAAGCATTAGCTCTAACAAAATAGACAAATTTCTTGCATATCGCTAAAGCCCATATCTGGCTTACCATGTCAAATTCAGTGAAACTAGCTTTCTGCAGTTGGCTATAGAACGTAGTCCATCATCTGTTAGGTTCTAATATACCAAACTTTGGTCAAAACCAATGGCTTGGGACAAAAAATCCACCATTGCACAAAGTTGTAGGTTGGCTATTCAAGTTTGATTATGACACAAATCTGTTATTCTAAAACAGAATATACCTGAGCACCACAAAGGTCTAAAAACCTTAGATGCGACAACAGAGAGATCTTTTTATAAGCTTCATCTGTAAAGCTGCCCAAACAAAATGTAGAAGTTGAGATGTACACAAGCATGGCATACATTTGAGATGTATAAGTTGTGTTCGATTACTAGAAAGGTCCTAATTTTACATATTATTCAAGGGTAAATTTACCTAGAGAGGGCATAAAGATTCAAACTTTGAAGAGAATAGCAATTCAGCAATATCTGTTGTAAACCACCATCTGTTAGCTTGATGCACCTAGTGACATCCCAAAGATATGAAGTGAGATACTGTCAGGAGGGATGAATTATTTGACCCCCTAAATGGGTTATGAAGATGAGAAGCAGTTGATGCAAGATTCCTGTAATGAATAATTCTCCATTTTCATGTAATAAAATACTGCATCCTCCAGTGATTTCTTTTTCTTTTTCTTTTTCTTTTGTAACACAGTCAAATGATCACTGTCTTGTCTAGACATCTTTGAAACAAGATCTTCTCTATTCATCAGCCTTGAGTTAAAAACAAGCAATAGCTGATATAATTATGTCAACTATTTTATTTATAGATTTCTAACAGTCACTACAGTATGTTTCTTTATTTTGTCTTTCCAATGCAATAAGACTATGAATCCAACATTAACCTTAATCCATACCTTGTCAGGTTTAAAGATTCCAAGTCTCGATAATTGTCAGCAATTAAGTGCAAACTTTGCTCCGTGATATTCTGTCATTGTCAAGAAAAAGAAGCTACATGAGAGATTTCCATCTTACAACAGATGAAGTGATCAAGAAAACGTAGCATGCATGATGAGCAGGAGTTGACAACAAGTAAGGCTCATGTCTAACTACGTAACAAAAATTTGCATCACAGGAAAAAAAACTTACAAATATTTGCATTACGGAAGAAACGAAATTGAAGAAAATAAATTTTAGTAAATTTTTTGGTAAGAGCTATGAAGTCTTAGCAGCAATATACAATTTCTTCAGTTGAAAGCTTGGAGCTTTCCAAATGGGAATCAAGATTAGGTTACTCTAATTACCTTAGGCAAAAGAATTCATAGAAAAGAAATAAATCAAGTAGTCCAAGACTATTGATCTCTAAAAGAAAATTTAAACAAGTGGAGAAACATACTTATTGGCATGTCATTAATTGTTTCCAACAAGAAGCAGATCTTAGGAAAGAAAATTTGATTTGCACCCTATTTTGGTGAATTTTGACAAAACAATATGTTTCATTATTTTCAACCTGCTTCTTTCTATTTATGGACTTAAAAGTCTTCTAAGAGAGAGGCTCAACCTAACAACCATTCTCTCTTTTCCATTATATTTCCTCTCAGAGTTAATCTATAAGACTAATCTTCAGCACAAGACATCAAAACTTAAATACAAATCACCTGTCGGATTTATGGCAGAAATGTCCATATAGTGCCGCATCTTAAAAGTTCAAGGTCATGCATGGAAATTCTAGGACATTTATTGTATAAATTAGGGTTTTTTTTGGGGGGGGGGGACATTGTTGCTTCTACATCCACGGATTTGAATTATCAGTTTTCATGTACCTTACACCCACTCAAGTTCAAATCAGTTATACGTTTACAGTTCCTCACCAAATGCTTGACTCCAATATCTGTAACCCTGAAAGCAAAAGTATAAGCGAAGCCCATTGATGATTAAGAGATTTTAGCTATAATTTGCAATAGAAGAACAAAGCACATACAAACATAGAATCAAGAAAGCCTTCGAGTACCTAACATTCCAATAGATGGAGAATGCCGCAAGATTCGGACAAATGCTTGTTATAACTTCAACTCCTTTATCTGAAATCTTCTGGCAGCCATTTAGGTTCAAAGACTCCAGATTCTTAAGGGCATCCACAAACTTCAAAGAATAGATATTCTCATAATAAGGACTTTCAATTCACCAAAAAAAAAAATCTGTACTGAAATTCCATATGCATAGGCCACAGAACTCAGTTTTAAAGTACTTTAAGACAGTGTCAAAACATTTCCACAACAATCAGGCCAGAGTAAAG